ACTGAGACACACTGTATGTCTTAACTCCGCAAATTTGAACCTGACCGTCTGTGTTGCCCATCTCGTACAATTTGCGGAAGAAGCCAAGATGACATCCATTTTCTCGTGACGCAGAGCGTCTGGTGTTTTTGCACGACATAATTAAGGCCCTATTTCCGCAACCCTGTGGAAGAGAACATTTATGTAGGGATGGTAGAGTGGCAGTTGTTTGTATAAACCGGATAAAGCAGCAGTCTAAAACGGAAGTTGGGGGAGAGAAATGGTGGGAAATTGCCACCCTTAATAACTATTCCCTCTAGTCGAAATAACTGCCATGATACTTGTCACTGGACATCCTACCGAAACAAATTTGTGCACATGAAACACAACAGAAACGACGGAAACGCTGAAGTACCACGGGTTACTCTGGCAGAACATCCATTTGCATTCAGTGTCCGCATTACTGGAGATGTAGGTCTGAGCTCCCAATCCCAGGACAAAACTGAACGGAGCCCAGCTTAGAGAGACCCGACGAGATGTACATCCAGCAATGAGAGACCTGGGGCGGCTTCAAAATTTGTACTCCCCAGACATTATTATCAGGACGAACAAAACATCGAAGCATGAGAAATGCATTAAAATTTTAGTCGAAACCCTGATGTAAAACGACCACTTCCACAGTTACACGAATATGAGTGGATAACAATAATTTCGTAATGTTGCATCCCGTTTGTAATTTCACTAATAATTACAAGCCTTCACCGTCACATAAACGTTTATTAAAAAAAAACATCCCTTTTCTCATTTCACTGCATGTTTCGACCCGAGTTGGTCTTCATAAGGTGAGATATGCACACAGCGGTCTGAAGGTTTATAGACAGCTGCAGTACTTCGGAATTATTGTTGGAAATTGGTAATTAGGTTGGATCCGCCGTAGTTAAGTGAATTCTTATAAAATTGTTTATATACATGAATGGCGACAACGTTGAAACTAACGGACAGCAATGTGTGCAGATTTGGGTGTTTCAGGCCTCCGTGTGTGTCTCTGTACCGTACCTGCTTCAGGCGCGTCAGGTCTAACGGGGCGTAGTTTTGTGTTTCCTGCTGTGTATTCATGTCGGCCTGTTACGCTTTAGAACTAGCCTCATCCGGGCTGCCTTCTGTCTACTTTACACTGGGCAGGGAACATCCATGTGCTCCCCTCAAAGATACATTACAAACACTTGAAATAATAACGCTACTACAGGAAGAGTCTTGAAAAATACCGCATACACAAAACCTCTGAGTAAGGCATGACATATTCTGTGAAAGCACCACCTCACCTAGCTAACCCACAGTCCACTGCTCACGGTCCAGCCGACAGCAACACCCCACCTAGCTAACTCACACAGTCCAGACGACAGCAACACCCCCCCTAGCTAACCCACAGTCCAGCCGACAGCAACCCCCCACCTAGCTAACTCACACAGTCCAGACGACAGCAACACCCCCCCTAGCTAACCCACAGTCCAGCCGACAGCAACCCCCCACCTAGCTAACTCACACAGTCCAGACGACAGCAACACCCCCCCTAGCTAACCCACAGTCCAGCCGACAGCAACCCCCCACCTAGCTAACTCACACAGTCCAGACGACAGCAACACCCCCCCTAGCTAACCCACAGTCCAGCCGACAGCAACCCCCCACCTAGCTAACTCACACAGTCCAGACGACAGCAACACCCCCCCTAGCTAACCCACAGTCCAGCCGACAGCAACCCCCCACCTAGCTAACTCACACAGTCCAGACGACAGCAACACCCCCCCTAGCTAACCCACAGTCCAGCCGACAGCAACCCCCCACCTAGCTAACTCACACAGTCCAGACGACAGCAACACCCCCCCTAGCTAACCCACAGTCCAGCCGACAGCAACCCCCCACCTAGCTAACTCACACAGTCCAGACGACAGCAACACCCCCCCTAGCTAACCCACAGTCCAGCCGACAGCAACCCCCCACCTAGCTAACTCACACAGTCCAGACGACAGCAACACCCCCCCTAGCTAACCCACAGTCCAGCCGACAGCAACACCCCACCTAGCTAATCCACACAGACCACTGCTCATGGTCCAGCCGACAGCAACACCCCACCTAGCTAACCCACACAGTCCACTGCTCACGGTCCAGCCGACAGCAACAGGACTCACAACTCCACTCAACTCGCTCTGTTTCCTTCTTCCAGGTTCAACTGCATTCAGACGCCCATAAATCCCAACAAGAGCATACACAAGAATATATCTATTTATATGAGGATTGTCTTCGGGATGCTGAGGGGTTTTCGGCGATTCTACGAACCTTNTCTGCTCGCGGTCCAACCGACAGCAACACCCCACCTAGCTAAGCCACACAGCCCACTGCTCACGGCCCAGCCGACAGCAACACCCCACCTAGCTAAGCCACACAGTCCAGCCGACAGCAACAGCCCACCTAGCTAACCCACACAGTCCAGCCGACAGCAACACCCCACCTAGCTAACCCACACAGCCCACTGCTCACGGTCCAGCCGACAGCAACACCCACCTAGCTAAGCCACATAGTCCAGCCGACAGCAACACCCCACCTAGCTAAGCCACACAGTCCAGCCGACAGCAACAGCCCACCTAGCTAACCCACACAGTCCACTGCTCACGGTCCAGCCGACAGCAACAGGACTCACAACTCCACTCAACTCGCTCTGTTTCCTTCTTCCAGGTTCAACTGCATTCAGACGCCCATAAATCCCAACAAGAGCATACACAAGAATATATCTATTTATATGAGGATTGTCTTCGGGATGCTGAGGGGTTTTCGGCGATTCTACGAACCTTACGTAGTGCCTAGTGCAAGCTATCAAATCCTGAACCTGGAAACTGCAAGGTTCACCGAAACGTTGGAATACCCCTCGACACGCGACGCTGCCTGGTACCCCCACATCAAACCGCAACCGCGCAAACGGAAGGACTCGATGACCAACATTACAGGGGAAACCCTGCACGCAGGGGTTTTAGGCAGATACACTTAATTACGGCGGTTGCAACCTACTTACCAATTTCCAACATTAATTCTAATGTACTGCAGCTCTCTATAAACCTGCAAACCGCTGTGTGCATATCTCCTCACCTTACGATAACCAACTCGGGTGGAAACATGCAGTCAAATAACATTTCTTAATAACAATTTATGTTACGGTTAATACTTCGATTTATTGGAACGCTATTCAAATGCTTGTTACAGAAACAGGATGATAGGATGTGGACTGGCTTCAGCTGGCTCAGAACACCGCAACGAAACTTAAGGTTACATAAGAGGGAGAGATTTCCTCACCAGCCCAGTGTCTGTCTGTCGCTCCATGGAGATACACTACATGCCAGTGCTTCCGCATACGAACAGCATTAACCGGTTAGTAAGTTCTGTGATGCAGGGTCGTTCTTTCAAATAGCACTTGGAAGCTCTTCATCCTTCACAGAACCTTCTGCTGGCCGGGGCTCAAATGCCATGTTGGTGCAAAAGAAACACATGTTTGCTTTCCAAATGGTCTCACCGCCTTTCTAATCTACAAAAGGCTGATTTCCGTGCAAGAGGATTGGAGCCCGCAAAACAGCAGAGACCGAGAGTGGACATTGAGAGCCGTCAGATCCAGTTATCAAGTTCAACCTCCATTGTTTTAACACATTTATGGGACGCTTGGTCGCCCTACGGGTCCAGAGACAAAGTTTCACTCATAAAACAACGCGAAAGCTGCGATTCTGTAGAATATTTCGATAGTTCTGGTATGTACACCATTACACACTTCTCTGACGGAGCAGAGTGCAGTGCAAATGCAGGGACAGACAATGGTGTCGGTCGCCATGTCAACCGTCGCACACGCTGCCGTACTTTGGTTGCGAGAGTATAAATTTCGCTACATTTATAATAATTAATTGTCACCCCAGGGATTCGTACAAGTCCGCTATGCTGCTCCCAGGGTTGTCTAGGTTCATAGCCACCCTTCTCAACAAACACACCGTCCACAACTCAGTTTATATGTACACATTTGTTTTACGCTGATGCCAATCCTAATTCGGACAGTGCCTCCTTATAACCCTATCAAGTTCCTCAATGACTATCCACGGATCGTGGCCCTGACGTTGAAGCTGTAAGCACATACATCATGCGGTGCATAATTTCGCCATTTTTAACAAAGTTACTGTAGGCTCGATATATCAACAGTGTGCGAATAATCGTGAACCGAGGACTTCCCCGGCCCTAAAGCGCTCCGAACAGCGAGTTGCCATATTTAAACCACGATGCAGCAATGATTTGTCGGGGCGAAACATGTTTCGGACGAAAAGGCAAAAAGAAACATGGAGCACAGAATTTATCTCCAGTTAAGTCTTTTCGAGTGAATAAAACGGAAGGACGTGACGTACATTTCTGAACTTGTTTACAATGACTGAAGACAGTGTAATGAGGTTCTCTGAGCATATCGGCCTTTATATTGGCCGAAGAAACGAGGCAAACAGGCAGGAGACTTCAGTATTCGATTATGGAGGCGAAGCGGGGCAGGAAACTTTGCTCCGTGTTTCTCAGCAGTAGGAAGTTCCCGCGAAGAGGCTTGATGCACAAGGCTCAAGATGTTCGCATCAGGATGAAATGCAGAAACGAGGCTAATCCCCTTGGCTTGGACTCTCGTTGCTGTCGCGCCGACAGGTTACAGCAGGGGTGCCCAAACAATTGAGGTATCTCACACTAGAAGCCTGCGAAGCAGAGGGTATAAGAATGCTCAGGCGAGACGTCTATTATGAAAATTTCCTTCATTTTTTTTTGTTTCATGGGGTGGGGTGAGACTGAGTCCACTATTTGGCCTATTCTACCAGCCCTGGATGGTAGAGGATGAGCGTGGAGCAGTCGGTGGAATGAGAATCGGCAGGGGAAACTGCTCCAGTGCCACTCTGTCCACCACATAACCTGATCTTCACTGAAACCCGGCGACTAACCGGCACTACACGTGTTAGTGTACTCACCAGACGGCGGAATGGTGCGGGGTGCTGTGCTGCAGGGGCGGGTGAGATGGAGTGGTGGCGGCAGATGCAGCCAGGGACTGTCTGGACTCTGGTCTAGTGACACACTGCGGCACTTCGCCGGCCGAGCTGACAGCAGCGTTCACCTGCTGCTGCTGTGGGGTTGCGAACCTGCGGCTGCTGCCACAACACAACGACATTGTGGAGCCCTGTGGGTCCAGCGCCTCGAGCACCCCACTGCAACTCCTCCTCTGGGGCGGCTGCTGCTGCTGCGGGTGGTGGTGGCTGCTACCGGCGACACTCACCGTGCTGTTGCTTGCACCATCAACACTTCCACACAAAGGGTTTTCAATTCCCAGCTCACAACTATTTAAGCTACCACAGCGCGGCAATATGGCTGACGGCGGTGGTGTAGGAGTTGACACGTGCCTCCCACCGCTAGCACCAACGTATTCGATAACGGGCACGTTCGCTGCGGAAGTTGCTACGTTATTACCGGAAGCGGAAGGCGACTGTGCTGCCAGCCGCTGAGACACAACGCTACAGGGGGGCGTCCGTCCGCGATGAGGCAACAATGGCGAAGGTGACGTCATGTATTCACGAGTACTACCTGCTCCGCCTCCACTAACACTTGCAGCCGGCGCTGCTGCTGAAGACGCCGATGACGAGGACGAGGACGACGAACTCGCTCCAACTGCGACGCCACTCGAGGTTCCTGCAGCCAGCATCACAACACCGGAAGCTGCTCCGCTGCCCGAACCGGAAGCCGAGGGAGTGTTGCACGCAGATCCACTGCCCGGACTTCCTGCCGAAGACAGGACGTAGGGAGGGTCCGCTGAAGGGCCGTAGTGACTGGGTGAAGGGCAGCACCGGATATGGCCTCTGTTCGGTGAGGGTACCACATGGGGGTGGTAGTTGAGCGAGCGGTGGTGTGGTGCGGGGGGCAGAGCCCGCTGGTGGTGATAGTGAGGGTGGTACTGGTGGTGCGGGTGGTATGACGACGGGTGGGGTAGCCGGTAATGGTGGTGATAGCCCAGATCGCGGCGCATGTAAGGGTCTCCTGGGCCGCCTGGTGTGGCTGATGAAGGTGGGGGCAGGTACCGTTCACCGGGAGCCGGTGCCGAGGGCGGAAGGTATCGCTCGACCGGTGCGGGCAGGTACCTGTCTCCAGGTGCAGGCAAGTATCGGTCTCCAGGACTGGAAGTCGCCAGATATCTGTCGCCCGTCGAGGAACTTTGGTGGTAACGGTCGCTTGATGGAAGATAGCGCTCGCCAAGTGCTGGAGCTGGTGGAGGGATGTAACGATCCCCCTGGGGTGGCGTTGGGGCTGGTATGTACCGTTCTCCAGCCCCGGGCGGTGGTGTTGGACCAGGGGGCGGGTACTGGTGGGGGTGGTGCAGCAGCAGTCGTTCCCGCCGCCCATAGTCCTCGTCAGGAGCTGTCATCCTGCTGCTCCTGAGCTGCCCAGTGTCAGGACATCTGCAACAGCCATTCAGGGCAAGACTGTCTTAAGGCCACTCACAATGCGACATGTTGCAGAATACACACACTGCCGCTGGTACTGCGTAATCGTCACCTTCCAAACAAAAACATTTGCAATTCCGCATTAACATATAGACCCTAATCAGAAAATAAAGATTTCAGTGTCATTAGCCATGAACAAGAAACCTCCAGTGACTGACGTCACAGCGTTTAGTTTTCTGCAGTGGATTTACTCAAGGACGCTCAGCATCGAGACTGAGCAGCGTCGAATGGAAGGACAGTGGACAGATGGGCAGATCGTGACATGTGCCTCGGAGGAGCTGAGGAAAACCACTGAAACCTCAGTCACGATGGTCAGTGTCCCGGCCAAGAGCCTGTTCGTTTGATGATGGTGATGCAGTGACGTTTGTTAAAAAGGGACCGACGTTTCGAAGAAGCCACCTGAAGATGGAGGTTATTTCGAAACATCGGCATTAGTTTACCAGACTACACGGCGTCATATCTCAGAAGTCAGTAGTCTCCACACTTACCGCAGTGAGAACTTGGAATCTCCCGCGTTTATATTCGAGCACTCGTGACCACAAAATCGAAAAGCTTCCCTATCTACTGCGAGAGAGAGAGAGAGAGATGTTGGGAGGAAAGGCAAGGGCGTGGAGGGCTTGGGCCGGAGGGGACGAAGCGAACAGGTGGAGTTGGCAGCCGAGGCACCTCCTGATTTATCGCGAGACCATCCCTGCAACAACCGTAGCCAAGTGAGCATCCAAACCACGGCCTCCACTTGCCCCCCTGCAGCTTCTGCAGACCCACACGAGTACAACCAACACTTCACGCCATTTTATCTAAGTGACATGTCAAAGTCAGCTCCTTCCTCTGTGCGAGAAGAACGCAGTTTATGGTACATGTAGTAACCGCCACGTTAAAAACTATATCGACGAAAAACGAACGAACTTCGTAGCAATGTGTCGGCTGGTTCACAGGTCTGGAGATACAAGTTCGAACCTCGGCTTCAGAACTAGCAATTCAGGTTGTCACCCTTGCAGCATAATCGTGTGACCTCCGTACTCACTAAACGAACTCATCACTTGATGCAGTGTCGACATACACACACACATCACATGTGTGACTAAGCTATGAAGATGTATGATGGAGTGAAGGACAGCTCTAGCCATTCTCAACCTTTAAACCTGTATGGCAACTATACTGTCATGTCTATGGGTGGCTATAGACGGGGAAGGGCTCAATTACTGACGACTTATACACACACAACTCGTAACTAGAAGTAATTATAACAGCCTCAGTGGTATACACATTCTAAAGAATCACTGTAACTGCAGCATACACAAGGTCTTCTATGTCTTCAGTCGTTTCCTTGTAACGGATCCTAACAATGTCCTCTGCTTACGCCCTGTCTGGCAAATGAACTCCCAGACTGGCAGCCACCTCCTCCTATTCTTCTCTGCACTGACTGTTTCCTACGATTTTCACAATAAACAGCATTGGCCTTTGTAATGCAGACGCAGTGTGTTTACTGCGAGGTAGGCAACGAGTCCTTCTTCAGACTTCAACAGTGTTAACCTGATGTTGCAGCACAGCATGTCATGACCATATTGCAGACGGTGGCTTCAGATCTGATTAGAACACCGGACAGCTCGCAGCAAGCCAGCCAAGTGCGGCAGAACATTGCTTGTTTATGGAGCACATCCCTGATTCAGACCGAATGGCGTTCTGTCTGTCTGTCTGTCTGTCTGTGTGAGACGGCTGTTTCCACCAGAATCCGCCCTTCCCTCCCACCGCCATCTTGTACCGAAGCAGCAGGAAGGAATGAGGCAGACACTCCACAGGGACGCATACAGCCGTCCCCATGTGTCACAACAGGACACAATTTCATAAGCGCAGACCCATGCAGCAGCTGTCACCTCGCGTAAGGATTCCGACGAACACGGGGCGTGTGGCGTGTAGCACGCAACACCACTAGCAGGAAACCCTGAGGGGATAAAACTACTAGGGATACGTAAGCGGAGATGGAAGGGTAATATTAAAACGGATCCTAAACAGACCTGCATAAAATAATGGCGTGACACTTAGCATAGGTTCCAGTGGCGGGCTGTTGTCACCATGGTAACGAATGTGGATAACGGTCCATCTGCAGACCTCTACCCTGTACATTTCCTCGGAAATGTTGGTACCTATCTACCAAATTACACGGCGTCACATCACAAGGTGGCGAACCTTCGGGGCCGATAATTTCTTGCACAGCTATGGAACACAGTTCATTCCGTTATTTGGGGCTCATAATCTGGTTTGGTTCCATCATCGCCTGTGCCCGAACAGCAAGCAAATCCCAATGCTAATGCATGGAGCCATTGCCGCCAGTGAAGCAAGGTTCTGCAACTGGCGCTGCCCACAGGTGCAGCGGGTTGCGTTTCGGAACAGCTGGGTGCATGCAGAGTCACTCCAGGGGCAAGTGTGTACCCGGTTCCCAGAGAACGGTTAACTGTGGCAGATGTCTCGAATTCTCCCCGTCCGTCCGTCTGTGCGTACGGAGAGTCTGCCCCAGGTTCACAGTCCAAGCTCAGTCTACAATGATACGCAAGGCCCACAGCTACACTGCTGCATGTTTGCTACTTTGTTTCGAGTTGAAACTCTAGTGCCATTTTCAAAATATATAATTTCCTTTCGCTGATATCGATTTAAAATCGAGTAACATATATCGAATTAGAGTATGACACTTCTCACAAAGGCTAATGAAATCTGTTGGATGGTCACATAACGGAAGGCGTGTTCAGCTGGACGCACTGACAGTGAACTGTCCCTTCTGTAATAGCACGCCACTGGTCACGTCCGTACAAGCTACTCTGTCGCGGCAAGGGGGGTCTCACCCACCCCCCCCCTCAGGACGTGTAATTCCGTCGTGACAAGGGGCCAACTTGACATGAAACTAATTCCGTACATAAAGTACAGCCCTTCAAAAGCTGGCAATTGCTAAGCTAGCCCAAATTCCGTCTTTTACGGGACTCAAAGATTCATGATCACTCACAGAATCCCATTCTGAGCCACACTCCGGCCTATCACATCTACATGTAGGTCTTCCAAGTAGTCTCTTTCCGACCTACTAGACATGATATTAATCACCGCAAATCAATACTTCCCGAAGAAGACTGGTCCTCCCGCGAGAGCGATTGCGTCAGGCTGTAAATTGGCGGGATCTGCGGGATACGAACCCAGAACACGAATGGCACGTTCAGTACCAGGTTTAGCTGCGTAGCCCGAACGGAACTGCAACAGGAAAGGTAAAGATGTCACCGTTTACTGCGCCACGAAGGCAGGAGTATGGGAGAGGGGGAAGTATAGATCCACGCATTCTTGACCTTGGCACTAGTTGGAGATGAGCAGTCAGCTTCAGGCCGCGGTCGCTTTATCCTCGATAGCCATTGGATATGAGACTGGGTGGGCTTGAAAACAGGTCTGGACGACGTGGAGATCTTTGCTGCACTCGACAGTCCAGCCCGTAGCAGAGCCCCAAGTCCGACTCTTTAACACAACACGAGGCTGGGCAGCTGGGCGTCAAGACGCCGTGTAGATTGTTCTGATGTGAATCGAACCGCGGACGTTTGCCAACGTTTCGGAGAAACCTGTTGCCTCCATCTTCAGGGTAGAAGTATAGGCAGCGCGGGGAAAGGAGAACAGTACTGAGAAGGTTACGAAATTTCACCAGAAGTTTGATATAACAGCAAGTGGCAGGAGACGCGAGAATTGCGTGGCGAGCTCCACGATTTCTAACCTACTGCTCACAACACATTACGATGATGACGTGTGCGGGACATGTAGCACGCAAGAAACAGATCGGAAAGATGCAATATCTTGGTCAGAAACCAAGAACTATAATATTATAATTGATCTTCAAGAAACTGCGTGTGACTGTGCGCGCTGGATTCATCTGGCTCAAGACAGCGATCAGTGGCGGGCCTTCGGATTCTATGCATGGCGGAGAATTTCTTGAACATGTGAGCGATGATCAGCTTCTCAAAGAGCTAGTTCCACGAACTGGCTCACGACAAATTAAGACTGAGATCCCCTGTAGCACTTATCGGAAGTGCACAGGAGGCTTCAACTGGCAAGCACAGCCACAGTAACAACAACCATTAATTCTCCCCGTGCGAAATCACAGCAATCACTCTCCTACAGCTTCAACTTCCTCTCCCCTTCGATTCCATTTCGATTCTTCCTCCGAGCTAGACACAGGATTAATTCTGTTCGCTGCTGTCTCCCACCCTCCACATGGCCAGCCACCCCGAAGAATACAGTAAAGTACAGTAGAACTTGGTTATAACGTCATCAAAGGGTCCTAAAAATAGTGTCGTTATAAACGAATGTCGTTGTAACCGAAATGGGCACTTCCACAGTAGCCTTATGTTAGTCACGTAAAAATCTACCAAAAACTGAGTTAAAATGTTGCATTTTTTAGTGAAATACGTAGTTAAATACAGACTAACGTAACATTAACGTGGAATTGCCCAAATGTGTAATATCAAAGATATATTACAGCGCTTTTCACTGACAATACACACAATATTTCACGAATCACGTTAACTTTCTCTTCAAAGCTTAAAACTTTCCTTTTCATTGCCATGTTTTCGCTACTGCACTTCTCTGGGTTTAGGCAGGAACACTATAGGGTAAGTAGACAATGTGAGGTCCTGTTAGACGAGATTCTAGGAAAGAAATGCAGTTAACAACCTGCCGCGTCCTCTTGCACTATTCACGCAGTCCCACCCCACACCCTTGTTTTCGCATAAAACCCACGCTCCTCTTGCAGCCCGCAGTCGTATTCTTCCAGGACAGTCACGTCAGCAAGTAGAGAAAGTGAGGGTGGGCAGACACATCGAACTTTCCCACGATATCAGAGAAATTCAGGAATGAAAATGACGTTACATACGAGGTTGATGCATTTGTGCATGTCGTACTAAGCAAGGTATAAAAACAGTTGCTTTATGAGG